CTAAAATTAAATAATTTAGGACTTTAAAGTGATTCTAAAGCCTGGGCATCTTTTACCTTAATGCATTCCTTACATTAAGGGAAAAATCTTTGCGTCACCACCTCCCCCCTCCCCTCCCCCCTTCCCCAATACTTATCTGATCTCGTTCCAGCTCTGTGCCAATCTACAGCTGCTCTTCTCCCCCTTCTCACAAAAAAAAATAATAATTTGGCAGCGGCGGGGAGCCATTGGCCCATGCTGCTTTCAATCAAATTATCTGAGGAGGGGGTGGGACCGAGCTTCACTGTGCGTCTTTAGATCCACACAGCCTGACTCGGGTATAAGCCTGAAGGTGCATCCCCATAGGAAGCGGCCTCCTATAGTGGCACACCAAGAAGAGGAAGTTGTAAAGAGTAAAGTGCCTCAAGGGGGCTCTAGAAGTGGAGCTTGGGGCTGCTCCATACAGTACCATTGCACAGAGCAGGGGGGGAGTAGAACATTTATAAAAAAAAAAAAAAAAAGTAAGCTTTAGCATCACTTTAATGTTTCCATCTTCATTGAACACTTACCAAAGTAGTACCTCCAAAGTGCAAAGATTGTGCTCGTTTTTTGGATTCTGGTTAACTGTTAAGTCTGCGGCTGTTGTGTTGCCCATAGCATTCAGTCAGGTTTTCCTTTTCATTCAATATTAGATCCTTTAGGGCACTAAGGGCAGATGCCTTGTAAAAGGAAGTGAACATGTAACCTGTTAAAGTGAATCAGTTAAAAGAGAAGTATGAGGCTGACATAGTTTACCACCTATTGCTGGTTGCTTGGCTGTGTCTGAGTTAAAGTGAAAACAAAAACCTTTCTATCTAAAATCCCTTACGCAGTGGTCACATGATGCTGCAGACCTGAGCCTGCTCAACTTTTTACTTCCTGGAAGGGACCTTCTTTGGGTGTCCACATTGGTGCCTGTATGACATGTGCACGTCCTCATCACAAGGGACTGGTGGTTACCACAGATCCAGTTGTTTGCGATTCCCCCCACAAGATCACCAGTTTCCTGTTATGAGAATATACACATGATCACCAACGTGCTCGTGTGCACATTCTCCTAACATGAAACCGGTGAGAATGAGCACATGTGACCACTGCTTAAGGCAAGTAAAAAATGCTTCTTAGATGGGTTTTTGATTTCACTTTAAATCTGACACAGCCAAGAAACTAGCATTTTCAGAGGGTGGTAAGCACCGTCGGCCTCATACTTCTCTAATAATGGATACACTTTACCATCTCCACTTCCTGTTGCTCTAGCCCATCTTTCTCCTATTAAATGAAAAGGAAAACCTAACCAGATGCTATGGGCAACACAGTGACAGCCGCAGACTTTGCAGTGAATTAGAATCCAAAACATGAGCACAGTCTTTGCAGTTTGGAGGTGCTGCTTTTGTAAGTACTCATTAATTCCCATCTGGAATCTTGTGGAGGAAGTGAGTGACCTGGAAGGGAGGCTTAGGTCAGTATATCTGCCTAAGGTATATAAATGCTTAGTACCATAAAATGGGGTGGGGGGGGGGGGATGTTGGGCGGCTTAGTGAAAGTTTTAGTCCAAAGTGGAGTTTTTTTATGTGTTGGCCACAAACCAGCAACAAGCATGGTTAATTAAACGGTGGTCAGAATTCGCTCTTTACATTTTTGGCTCTGTGACTCGGACAAAATTTGAAGCCCAGGAATAAGCATTTTTGCCGTGTTTTAAATCTGCCTAGCAACAAGGAACAAAAACCCTGTAAAATGCATAAAAAACGAAATGCAGAAACGGGGTAAAATGCAAACTGCATAGGGATGAACCTAGTCTTAAAGTTCCGCTTTAAGGCTTTATCCCACACTCCCCCTTAAGGATTGGCACCCTGGGGGAGAGGGGGTACCCAAATTTGACAGGTACCCGCTCCCACTTCCTATCTGAAGCAGAAGTTGTCCTCCTGTAGTCTTCTGGAACATGACAGGTCCCAGAAGACTATAGGGCCATTCACAAAGCGCAGCGTTTCTCACGCATGCACAGTCACAGCCTGGTGCCCACACTGCAGATGCTGGTGAATGAAAAGGGGGAGAGAACATGGCCAGTGAAACCAGCCATGGTGAGGACATCGCTGGACCAAGGGACAGGTAAGTGTCTGTATTTTAAGTCATCAGCTACAGTTTTTTGTAGCTGCTGAATTCATCCCCCCCCCCCCCCCCCCCCCCCCCAACTGGAACTCTGCTTTAATGCAGACTGCCATAGCTAACCCTAACATGTGATTTTGAGCCTCCATGAATGAATGGACTGAAATACAGTGAATGAAAAGGAAGTGCCAGGGACAGTAAGGCCAAGCCAGAGATGATTAAATTTTCTTCCCTGCAACCGTGGGTTGCCGGAAAGAAAAATCATCAATTTTACCCATTAACAGTCAGTCTTTCAACTTCAGTAAAACCAGCCGTACATAAGACTAAACAAAAGTTTCATTTTTTTTTTCGTTAGAGACAGACTGCTGTGAGCAGTGATCATTGTATTGTGACAGCTGGGAAACCTTCCACTGTCAGAATACAATTGCACAGCAGAAGGGATCCCCCCATCAACACTGACTGATTCGATGGTGGGAATAAAGTAATTTTCTGGGTTGAAGGAAAGAAAACTGCATCCATAAAGCAAAACAGAGGGTGCACTGGCCTAGTGCATTATCCTTTAAAAAATGATTTTATTCATGTAAAAGTGGTAAGAATTATACTCACAAAAGATGAATGAATCAAAAGCTTATTTAAAAAAACAGAACCATCCAGTCCATAATACATCACATCCCATAACAGGATCAATGGACATCCAACAGCTAATGCGTTTTGAGGTCTTTCCTCTTCCCCAGAGCCAGTCAGTCTAGTCCTCGAAGAGCAGGAGGTTGTGCTTTGTCATTGTGTGTGTCTCAGATCCAAAGTAAAGGTACCACATTTTTGTAGTTTTGATGTCCTGATTTGTATGTTCCACAGTCGTGTATTGTGGAATGCAAAGCCATCACGTGGCTCTTTAATGGTCACAAGTTGGGAATCGCTGCATTTTGTCAACTGGATTCTTGGATAAACTGTAAGAACTTTCAGCTAGTCGGCAGATGTGCAGAAACTGAGTTCAGATTTGTGGCCAATTGGCCTCTAGCCCCCGACTCCATGTTTATTGTCCCTTTTAATTAGTGCAGTAAATAGTCAGTGTGGGCCAGCTTGGCTCAAACCAACCAACCAGTGTGTTTGCAGCATTGGCAGTATTAACTGTATGTAAACTTACATACAGTATACAGCATTGTGTTTGGCAGTAGGTCGTCCTCTTCCTGTCTCTGTGCCTCAGCCAATCCGAGGAAGAAGCTTTGTATTCATGCATAGAATACAACACTTCCGATGAATGACTGAGCGGTGCTCAGCCTGACTTTATTTTGTTCCGGGAGAGGAATTGGAAGCTGAGGCTACATACTGGTAATACAGCGCATCTGTTAGTACAGTAAATAGTTTGGGCCAGCAAGCAAACCTTTTAGACAGTAAATTAGTTTGTTTTGGGCCAGCCTGCCTCAAACAAACTATTTAAAGGGACATTAAATGGGGAGTTAAGTCTTTAAGCTGTAATTCAGGATAAACAAATATTGTCCAACTCCAAGAGTCACGTATGTGCGTACTTGTATCTCTATGGTCTTTGTGTATTACTTCCACTTCTGTGCAATATTCTAGCATGTAACATCTTCGGCACCTTGCCTCTGTGCCTGGGTTCCCTCTTCCCAGCAGACTGACCACTGCTGCTCTCTCGCTTTCTGCAGGGTGAATGGTCTGGTCTGCATGCGCCCCTCAGTTTTCTGCAGGCAGCTGTGATGCACTTTGACAATACTACTATCTATACAAAGTGATATCGGCCCTTACAAAATCATTTGGTGTGCACAGTGTTATGTGATGTATGGCCATTGAGTAATCAGGTTTTGTGCCCAGATTTCAGCTTTAAAGGGCAAGTTCACTTTTTAGTAAATCATAAAAGCACATTTTTTTTTTTTTTTTCCCCATGTAAAAAAAATGTGCATTTATTATTTTTGGTTGCAGGGTCCTGGAAAGCATTGCACCAGCGATCAGCATATCGCTAGTGCCATGCGGGTCTTCTGCAGATCTGGTAGTATATCTGCTTGCTCGTACATCCCATATTCTGACAGGAAGAATGAATGAACCACCACAGCGCTCCACAGCACCATAGTAGTTCATTGAGGACTACAAGCTGACCGCAGCTAAGGCTGTCTGGACTCGTCTCTCATTCAGAGAGGACTGTGAATGAGTGATGCAGGCAGAGCCCCACATTGCAATATTTTTGTAAAATTTGACAGCTAACGAGGGGGGAGAAGATCCCCTGATGGCTGTCAAAGTGGGGAGGAGCGTGGGCCGATCTGATTTAACAGGTTACGTGGTACACACTGAATATGGGTGAACTTATCCTCTACGGCAGGCAGTCAGTCATGAGACTATAGTGAAAGACTGAATCTTCTTTGTTGCTATATAAAGCAATTCTGGTGCTCACATGTGCGGCTTGTTACTTAAATTGTAACTTCCTACACAGCTGTCACAGGCTGGTAAATTGGAAATATTCGGCCCCATATTACGGCTGGGCATACCAGAGGCTGACTCACACTGGGGTGTTTTTAATCTCCTTTAGAATAACAAGAGGTGAAATATCAGCCCCTACTTATCCCAGTCATCACTCTGCTGGGTCCTGCCACAGCCTCACCCTGCAGCTTGGCCAGTATTCAGATTTGGTGGACCCAATGAAAGAATGTCTTTATGAAGAAAAGTGAACCATTGATGAATGATCACAGGGATTTTCCAAGAATGTTGAAAACGATTCAATGCTATAATCCCTTTTATCACAATTTGTAATTATCATTGGGAATTTAACCCCTTTTATTGCCTCTACATGCAAACTATGGTTGAATCTGTCATATGGTGGGAGGTTGTTGTGTAAGCAAGGTTTGTCTCACGTGTGTGTTCTTTGGCAGGTGTGGTAGAGGGTGATCTGTCAGCAGTGGAAGCATATAAGAACTCAGGAGGAGACATTGCTCGCCAACTCTCAGCTGATGAAGTTCGTCTTTTGAACCGTCCGTCAGCCTTTGATGTGGGTTACACTCTGGTGCACCTATCTATCCGCTTCCAGAGGCAGGACATGCTGGCCATACTTCTGACCGAGGTGAGTAGCTTTTACCAATGAACTGTGATTCTGTTCTTTTGGGCAGCCAGTTTTCCAGGCATCCTTGCCACACCACAAAAGTCAATGGCCTCATCTTCTCTATTGCAGTTACTGAAGACCTGTGCTATGAAAGTTCATGTTAGCTGCCTTGAAAGGCATTCATGAACTGTGGAATGTGCCAAAGCAATTGTAAGCAACGGGTCACTTTCTCACATGTGACACTACCTAAGCACCTTCCGCTCTTCTAACCCCAGAAGACCCAATCAGGACTTTAGAAAAATCCTAAAAAAAAATCCCCACTGTTTACACCATTGGTTTAATCAAACAATAAGAAATCAGGGATCACTTGATAAAGTCTGAACCCAATCCCTCACAGCAGGGTCATGTGACAAGATGGCTAACTTTTCGGTCACCATACCAGTACTGCAGAAAGCCTAAGGTGTATTTTCTCCAGCAAAGGCAAAGATATTAGCCTTACTTTATCTACCCCAACAAGACTGTTAAAGTATAACTAAAGGTAAAACTTTTTTTTTTTTTCTTTGTTTTGGATAGTGTGGAGAGGTGTTAGAGCACCTGTCATTTGTTGTTGCTGTCTGTGCCCCCATTAAGGAGATTTACCCTCTGTTTGTCCTGTTTACCATGATCACTGACAGTGAAATTTAAGAAAATCCCAAATTTTGGGTTGTCCCCAGAAAAGTAATAGAGGGGAAATTTTCCAATGGAGACACTAGTCCTATTGACCTGGGGGATCCCAGATGGACTCCCTTAATTTGCAGGGATTTCCTCTCACTTCCTGTTTGGCTATGGGACAGGAAGTGAAGTGTTATCTCAGAAATGGGACACGGATGGCGAAAAAAAATTTGATAGGAGTTTTTAACCCTCCCTTGCTCTATCCCAAATGGGGAAAAAAGGTTTTGCCTGAAGTTCTACTTTAACATCTGAGAAAAGGTCTGCTGTAAACAAACCTGTGTTGTATGAGGACATTTGGAGCTTTTTTTTTTTTTTTTTTTGTTCTTGTGTATTACTCTAGTAAGTCTTGGAATGGGTGATTTTAATTGGCTGGGGGAAAGTTAATTCATAATCCGATCTACATCTAATGTCTGTGATCAGCTAATAGGTTTCATGTTGTGTTTGTAGGTGTCTCAGCATGCAGCGAAATGTATCCCCGCCATGGTGTGTCCTGAGCTTACTGAGCAGATTAGGAGGGAGATTGCAGCTTCCATGCACCAGAGGAAAGGGGACTTTGCTTGTTACTTCCTCACAGATCTGGTGACCTTCACGTTACCCCCGCTGGTGAGTGCCAGGTGCTTTTCATCTACAGTGAATTTGAGGCAGCCTTACTGTGCAGCCAGTGTGAAATTATTTCTGCAGTGCATCAATTAGAATTGTGTCCTTGCTATCAGATATCCACATTTAAAGATAACTACGCATTTGTGTTACTAAAACCACAACCGTAAAATCTATTTGTATATGCAGTAAAGCATGCTTGTTATACTTGCTGTGCAATCTAAGGAGTTAATCCTCCGCATTGTGTAAAAAGGCTGTTTGATCCTGTCTTCTCTGATTCTCCCAATCTACTGTCCGAATCCATCTGCTGACAGTACAGAGCTCTAGGAGTCGCTCTGCACATGCTCAGTTTAGTGTATATTTTTTATTTATTTTTTTCCTTGGGAAGGTGCATGTGATCAACACAGGGCCCATCAGCAATGTCCAGACAGAGGGTCAGGGGTTATGCAGCCTCATAGGACAGTCAGGAGAATGAAAACTCCTCCTACAAGCCTTAACCAGTGCTCAGCTGGACACTGATAGAAGTCCCAAGACTGCTATATACTGCTGATGATTAAAGGTATTTAGCAGTTTATATTTACTACAATTATTGCGTTTCCATGTAGTGTGTACTGTGGAAGACCACATATAGTGAATGCAGGGCCATGGGTTTAGTAACACTTTAAGGCAGACTTTCTCAACCTTTTCAACGCAGAGGAACCCTTGAAATAGCTTTCCGGTCTAAGGGAACCCTTGCTAAAAATTATTATATCTATAACTCGTGTGATGGTCAGTGGGAAGAAAGCTCCTTACACTTGTCACTGCAAACAATTACCCTCTTGCAGATAACTAAAAAGGTCAGTAGTATAGGTGGGAACTCATCTGAGAGGGAGAAATTGCTCAAGGAACCCCTAGCAACCTCTGAGGAAACACCAGGGTTCCATGGGACCCTGGTTGAGAAACCCTGCATTAGTGTGATTGTCGGTGGGAGGTATGCGCCTTACACTTGTGGTTATTGGGGGAAAAATACCCCCTTACAGATAGCTAAAGAGCTCAATCGTGTCAGTGGGGTAGAAATCAGTCATTGTTCAAGGAACCCCTAGCAACCTCTGGAGGAACCCTGATTTAGAAACCCTGCTTTAAGGACCCAGCAGATTCTCTGGACATTCCCCTTTTCATTCCAATGGAGAGGCAGCCTGTCATTGGAAGGTATTCTGTTCTCTCCATTGGAATATTCTCTGTACATGTGGGGGAAAACAAAAAATAAATAAAAGCATGGAGTCTTGGCACACAGTGTGGATCTTGCAGGAGTGTGGACAGGAGACTAAAACACTTTCCCTATATTTTTTTTCCCTGCAATTGGATGCACTAGATAACTGTTAAAGCTCTTGTCTGGGAGTCTTTTTTTTTTTTTTTTTTTTTTTTTTTTTCTCTTCTCTATGATCTGTGTTCTATTTTGGATTTTTACACCAAATGGTGATATCTGCTAGGCCTAGGCACAATCACATTATGCCTCCCCCATACCCAGAAGTGCCTGGTAATCTCACCAGCTCCAGAGGAGTAAGTTGTGGAAAAGGTAAGATTGGTAAGTAAAGGTAAGCAGACCATGCATAGGCAAAGTGAAGTGTCTTTTTAAAGTTGACTTGCACAATTTTTCAATTTAATATTTTGTTTTTCTGTCAATGTGCAGGGCTGGACTTTCAAAGACAATCGACACCCCCTAAAATGCTCTTTCATTAACTGACAGACTGTTTTTCTCTATAGACATAGAAGATCTGCCACCCCCAGTCCAGGAGAAACTGTTTGATGAAGTTTTGGATCGGGATGTGCAGAAAGGTGATTCAGGTTTACTTAACCTTCAGATCCTGCAACTGTGTATTCTTTTGTGTTGCATGGTTAATTTTAATATTTGACTTAATTACAGAGTTAGAGGAAGAATCTCCAATCATTAATTGGTCACTGGAGCTGGGGACCCGTCTGGATAGCAGACTTTATGCACTTTGGAATCGCACAGCAGGAGACTGCCTGCTGGACTCTGTACTACAAGCTACGTGGGGCATCTATGACAAAGACTCGGTGCTAAGAAAGGCTCTGCATGACAGCCTCCACGACTGCTCCCACTGGTAATCACAACCTGTGCAGTTATATGGGCCTTGTCCATGGCAGCTTTTGTTTGACATGAGTTTGGCTAAGCCATGCCGTTTTTGTGTTTTTTTGTGAAGCCTGATGTGTTATTGTCAATGAAGTCTTAGGGTCCAGACTTAATAAAAGTGAAAGGTGGCCATTGTTTTCAAGATTAGACCTGCATCGTAAATCTTCTGTTTACCATGGGGATATTCACCTCATTCAGCTTAATCTATTCGCTGTGCTCTCTTCCATTATACAGTGCTGCAAATAAAAAAATTCTCTACATTGGGTATAATCGCTGGCATTGGTCAGGAACCTGTGGCTCTTGGTAACACCTCCTGAATTTTACATGAATTTGTCCTTCACTGCACAAGTTCATCTCACTGTGTGTGCAGTATTGATGTAGCTTATAAACATGCTTGTTGCAGCCATTGCGATATTGTACTGAATGTGGCGTTACTAGTCAGGGTACCGGAAGGGCTTGGTAAAATTCTGAGGCTTTTTTTTTTTTTTTTTTTTTTTTTTAATTTCGAGCACATAGTTTTCAGTAGGACCTATTAACTATTGCAATTCAAGTCCATACAATTCGTTCAGAATCGCAGTACAGCAAGTTTGTCTAACACGCATGTCAGTACAACTCGCATTTTTTTATGCATTCTAGTGTGAATGAGCTATTACTGACACTGACATCTGGCTTTGAGTTCTGAATTGTGGTGTGTATTTTTTTTTTCCCTAGGTTTTACAGCCGCTGGAAGGAGTGGGAGTCTTGGTACTCGCAGAGTTTCGGGTTACACTTCTCTCTAAGAGAGGAACAGTGGCAGGAAGACTGGGCTTTTATTCTGTCACTCGCGAGCCAGGTAAAAGCAGGAAATAGATTGTCTGTCTGCATTGCTGAGAGTCATGAGATCCCTCCAGATACCGTTTTGTTGGGGGTATAATTGTTCCTGTGATTTGAGCAATCAGTGTAAGACTCTAGGACATGTAATACTGCTGTATCCTCTCTCTGTTACTTTTAATCTCATTTAAAAGAAGTGTGGGATTGCTATATTTTTTTTTCTCCAATTATACTTACCTAGGTGGGTGCAGAATCGGTCCGAAGCTACATCTATCCCTGCCGGCTCGATATGTGAGAACTCACTGCAGTGCTGGGCTGTGGAGGAGGAGGAACTGGCTGGCTCAGTCTCTCAGCGGCTTGCTGAGCCAGGTACCACTCCAGACTCTCGGGTGGACCCAAACTTTAAAGTTGGGATCTTTCCACAGCCTGGAGTGGCTGAGTGACGTCATCCAACAGCGGGCTTCAGTCTGCTGTCAGCGAAAAACTGGTATTAGGAGTGCAGAACAAACTCCACTCCTGTAATCCACAGAACTACAGCCAAAATAGCTTTGGCTGTTCTTCTGCTTTAATGTAAATGACCTGCGCTAAACACTGGTTTAACTTTCAGGTACGCCAGCCCCTGCTTCTGGTAATTATTGAATTAAAAGTGGAATTTCACTGCATCCACAAACCAAAAGAGATGTTAAATCCATTTTTAATATTCAATGCAAACTTGTGTATACGTGTATGTCTCCATGCTTTATTTTGCTGAGAAATCACATTGAAAAACACTCCCTAGCATTTTTTGACCGTGACCACCTTGAGTAAGGGCAGATAATTCATGTAGCATTTACTCCCTGGAATCTATCTGCCCTTAGCTCAGGCATTCAAGCAAGAGGGTGTGCTTCGCTGAAAAAAAGCCCCTCTTGAAGACTCCTTTTGAATGGATAACACCTGAAGAAATGTAAAAAAAAAAAAAATTAAAACAAATATGATATACTTTACTATGTATTTACCAATGCTATCAGCAGAAGTATTAAAATAGTGTTGACTGAGAGAGTGAAGTTCCACTTTAACTAACCTTGCTAATGTAACTATTTGAATTTGACTTGGAATCATCCTCCTGTAATCCCCTGTATAGTGGGAAGGGCAGCACTGGGAGCCAGTTAGGTGTCCTGTGACTTGGAATCATCCTCCTGTAATCCCCTGTATAGTGGGAAGGGCAGCACTGGGAGCCAGTTAGGTGTCCTGTATGAACTATTTGTGCTGAGAAAGGTTCATGTTGAAAAAAGAGCAGAGTAAATCTGGTCATATAGTGGGGAAAATAATTATTTGATCCCCTGCAGATTTTGTAAGTTTTCCTACTTACAAAGAAATGAAGGGTCTATAATTTTTATCATAGGTGTATTTTAAATGATAGAATATCAAACCAAAAATCCAGAAAAAACACATACAAATGTTATAAACTGAGTTGCAGTTCAGTGAGTAAAATAAGTATTTGATTCCCTACCAACCAACAATAATTCTGGGTCCCACAGACTGGCTTTGTGCTCATATGGTACACAGATTAGTCATGTCAATTTAAGAAGGTGCTCCTAATGACAACTCTTTATATGTATAAAAGACACCTGTCCACAGAATCTTTCTTCCATTCAAACCTCACCATCATGGGTAAGACCAAAAAGCTGTCAAAGGACGTCCGGGACAAGATTATAGACCTCATGGGGTAAAGATAATCATGAGAAAAGGGGGGGATCAGCCCAGAACTACACAATGTGAATGATCTCAAGGCAGTTGGGACCACAGTCACCAAACAAACCATTGATAACACAATATACTGCCATGCATTGCGCCTGAAAGGTCTCCCTCCTCAGGAAGGCACTTGTTCAGGCCCGTCTGACGTTTGCTAATGAACATCTAAATAATTCAGAAGAATTGGGAGAAAGTGCTGTGATCACATGAGACCAAAATTTATATCTTTTGGCATTAACTCGACTCGCCGACTTTGGAGGAAGACAAATGCTGACTATGACCCTAAGAACACCATCACTACAGTCAAGCACGGAGGTGGAATCATTATGATTTGGGGTGTTTTTTTCTGTTAAAGGTACGGTCCTGCTTTGTCGCATTGAGGGGCCAATGGACTGGACCATGTATTGTAAAATCAGCCAGAACACTGAAGATGGGTCGTGGATGGGTCTTCCAGCGTGACAATGACCTAAAACATACTGCCAAGGCAACAAAGGAGTGGCTCAAGAAGCACATTAGGGTCATGGAGTGGCCTAGACAGTCTCCAGACCTTAATCCTATAGAAATTTTATGGAGGGAGCTGAAACTTCGAGTTGCCAAGCGACAATCAAGAAACCTTAAGGATTTACAGAAGATCAGTAAAGGAGTGGACCAAAATCCCTCCTGAGATGTGTGCAAACCTGGTAACCATCTACAAGAAATGTATTACCTCTGTGCTTGCCAAAAAGGGTTTCTCCACCAAGTATGAAGTCATGTTTTGCTTGGGGATCAAATACTTTTTACTCAACTGGAACTCAATTTATAACATTTGTATCATCTGTTTTTTCTGGATATTTGGTTGATATTATGTCTCTTATTTAAAATACAACTATGCTAAGAATTATAGACCCTTCATTTCTTTGCAAGTGGGCAAACTTACAAAATCTGCAGGGGTTCAAATAACTATCGTCCCCACTGTCCGTAGATTGAAATGCAGGCCAGTTAAGCAGGGACTGGCTGAATTTCAATCCATGTATGGCAACTGTGGCTGAACAGAAGTCGATCTACTGCCCTGTTGGGGGGAAAAAAATGCTCGATCTGTGTTCTGATGGTGGGGAAGTCTCACCACCTTCAAAATACAATGACACAGCTGGGAGGATTCTCACATTCCTCTTGAATATGTGGATGGAGGAAATCCTGTGTGTTTTTGTTTTTTTTGTTCAACCCGCTGGCTGAACCAGAAAAAAACATCTCCGCTATGGCCAGCCTTAGCAGAGGATTTAGCTTGTCTAAATGCTCATTTACTGACCAGTCACTGGTTGGGGGGGCAGGGTGTGATGTAGAACTGCATTTGTTACCAAACTGGCTTTGCGGGCTGTCAGTGATGTATAAACTATTGGACTGGATGGACAAAAATAGAAATTCTTTACCAGGTAAAGTGTCTCATAGTATTTGAACAATGTTTTAAGTTGTTGGAATTAAGCTTTAATTATATATATTACATAGCACACACAGTAGTTTGGTGCCAAGAGGAAAAGGTGTGGCGATGATTAAGTCAGCATTTACTTTACTTTTAAAGTTTTGTATTATTGAACATGTTTTTGTTTTCATATCAGCTGCACATCTTGAGAAAATTCCGCTATCTGCATCCTTCAGGCAGCTTTAAAGGAAGAATCCTGCTGTTCATAAGAATACTTTCCAATGCTCTGACACTTAAGTGTTTTTTATGCAGCTGATAAAAATGCTAATTTTTATAATATAAAAGCTTCTTAGTGTTGTATTTGGTGAGAACACTGTTGAAAAATTGCTACCTGTTTGTCTGGGCCATTAAAACCGTTCAGGGTCCCACTAATGCCATTTCTAAAATACTGGATTTACACCAGTCTTGAAACCTCCAGTTCCCTGGTCACATATGGAAATACTGGATGGGTCATGTTTGACTGTTTTTCTGCTGCAGGCTGAGAACGAGGTCATGGGCATAGGGTGGGGATTGCCAGCGAATCAGAAACCACCTGGTGTTGGTTTTAGCTTTTAAAGCCCAACTCCGGGCAGATAAATTATACCTGCCCTTTTTACCTGAATAATCTAACCTGAATTGTTTAATCTCTTTACAGCCAGGGGCCAGCCTGGAACAGACGCACATCTTCGTTCTTGCGCATATTCTTAGGAGACCAATCATAGTGTACGGAGTGAAATATTATAAGAGCTTCCGTGGGGAGACGCTGGGGTACACTCGTTTTCAAGGTACAGCCAGGCCTCAATAATCCAAATATTGGTTCAGAATCATGGGAAGAGGAGGGGTGTATTAGTGGGGGGAAGTGTCACAATGGGAAGTTCAGTTGTTATGTTTGATAAATGGCTATGATGCATTATTTTGGTCTTGATGTTTAAAGTGGTAGTAAACTCTTTGTATTTTACAATTTGCTGACAAAAGGGTTTTTAGAACGAAGAGAACCTGGTGGACTCTTCTGTCATAAATGTCCCCCTTGTCTGTGCGCGGCTCAGATCACATTTACTTCCCACTCTTGCGTGCTCTGGTGATGTGACCCCCATACGTATGTGCAGGAGTGACATCACTGCCGCCTAGCCATTCAAGCGGTCAGAGATCCAAAACCCAGAAGGAAGACCGGGCGAAGATGGAAGTGTGCAGGAAGCTGTGACAGCGCTGTGCTGAAGGGCTCCATTAGCAAGCAAGTCTGTCTTAATGTGCTAATATGCATTGCTTACTAATATGTTATGACTGAAACCTACAGAGGGGCTGTCTTTTTAGGAAACAAGGTTACTACCGCTTTAAAGAATTTTTCTTCTTCCTATGGCCCATACAGCATTAAATGGCTGTTTAGAGAATGACATGAAGAGGGAGAGTTTTCAGGAACGATGTGACAAATAACTAGATAAAATATGAAACATTGGATAAGTAAGGTATAAGGTGTTCCATCAAGGCAAGTCAGAAGCTACCAAAACATGGGACCGCTGGAGCCATGCCACAGCCTGTGTTCTAGGAGTAATTTATAAAATGCAGACCCTATTGTGGAGCCTTCTATATCTGCTCAATGCTGAAGAGAGAACGGATTGGTGGAGAGGCCAGTCGCATGACTGACAAGTTACGTGACGGGACTCACTTCTCCGCTCCTTTTCCTTTGTAAGTGATGGGTAATGCACATATGTTTAATGCAGCGTTTGTTGTGGGTTTTTTTTTTTTTTTTTTTTGAGAAGGGAGGAGGGAAAGTGTTTTGTAAACTTCTGAAACCTTGGACAGTTGATATGTACCAACTTTAGATTCTACTAATGCAGGTACATTGAACTTATTTTTCTGCACAACAGTGCTGTATGTAAAGAACAATGCATGGTGCCCCCCATAATTCCTGTCTCCTTACGTCGGTGGCCACACATTACTTATCAGTGGGATATTTGATTACAGACAGGAACACTTGCAGTCGCAGTGATTGTTAGCCAGTCACAGGTCCTGAGATGCTCTATCATGATTTTAGAAGTAACTGGCATGTGAAAAATAGCTTTCTAACCTGCTAGGAAGAGGTTGAGCTTTCTGAATGAATGGATGAGAGATGGAGTGAATGTGCTTGTGCCAATGGAACTAGTACAGTGAAAAATTGTGGCTCCTGCATAGCATAAATATGTTGCACATCTGCTCATTTCTCAAGCCTACTCATAGCTCAATTATAAGCAGCCTTTGATCTTGTGTTGATTGCATCAGTTTGAGATTGCATTTGAATTGCTTCAAGCAGAGTTTGCATCCTATAGTATTGTATGGGAATGTAGAACCCATTTGATTCAAACAAAAACTTGTGGATGAAGGTCTTAAAGCACACACTGAACATTCATTTACCAATGGTTGGTGTGCATTTGTGCTGTAGAACTAAATGTAAATAAATAATATATACTGCTGCTTCTTTGGGGTTTGCTTGCTGCTTCCCTAGGTTGTAAAGACATTTTCTAGTGAAATAGGTGGGCATTTCTTGGGTGCACAGTGTGGGTTACCTCTGGCAATGAACACGGATATCGTCAGTTGATCCTTTCTTGTACATTCAAGGTGTGACAGTTTAATTCCTGGAATGGCCGCAGAGTGGCTTTATGGTGGAGTCACACAGAATGCACTCCATTGCGAATGGCTGACATGTTTAACATGCACTCACCTGAGTCACAGACCAGTTCACTCAGTCTTTACAAAGTGGTAGAAGAAATAACGTGTGCGTTTTGCTGTTGGTGGAAAATGAGTGACATGAATCTAGAGCAGAGGATTAACATCAAACGTTTTGTGAAGATTGGCAAAAGTACAAGTGAAGGTTTAGCTCTGTTACAACAGGCTTATGGTGAACATTCCATGAAGAAATTACATGTTTTTTTGAATGGCCTAGGTGGCTTTAGGAGGGGCGGGAAGATGTGGGCAGCCAAAGACCGGAATTCTGGCTTTACAAGTGGATTCTCCACCACAAGAACACAATGTGTGGGAGCATTAAGTGTTTGTGAGTTTCCTGGCCCAGAAATCCAACCACCTTATTCCCCTGACTTGCATCCTGTTACTTTTCGCTGTTTCCAAAATGGAAAAAAATGCCTTAAAAGGACACAGATTTGATGACATTCTGGACAGCCATCACACCACAACAAAGGTACTGCGCAGAGTTCCGGCAATCGAATTCCAGGAATGTTTCTGGTAGTGACAAAATTGTCTAGAAAGTGGTTGCTTTACAAGGGGGCTACTCTGAAGGTGACAACAGCCAGGAATTAAATTCATGCCTCCATACACATTCAGTTGTTATGGTTGTGTCTTGTAATGGCTGTTAGGCTGGAAGTATTTATTTATTTATTTTTTTTCTTTTGGATGTATGTGAAAAATAATACTGCATGGTAATGGGGTAGATGGCACATTTGCCTTGTAGCACTTGGCTCCTGGGGTCACTTTGCAGAGGGGAAACTATTTACATGGAGATTATATTATTTGCAAGCTTCCTCTAGGTTTTTGGTCAGCAACCCGTAGATTGCAATCAGGTGACTGGTAGATCGCAGTCTGGGCTTGCTGGCCTGCCATCCCAGAGCATCAGAGTGCAATGCAGAGGGGCTACTTGTATAGTTGTAGTGTAGTAGGGAGCAAGAGCCCTATAAGTCAATGCTTCCTCTGTACTGGTGGCTCCTGTCCCATGTGGAGTGATACCAACTGCACTCCACCTCTTATCCTGGCTAGTGGTCTCCAGAGTGGTGCCAGCACCAGGAAAGAAGAAATCTTCAGGTCAGCGTGAAGCAATACACTAGGCATAATGGTATAGGGCTGCTTTCACACTGATGTACTGCGGTTTATCAGCATTGCAGGTTCAGTGCAGTGTATCTGCAGCTTTCCTGCAGGTTTGCTGTGCTTGGCCATAGACTTCTATTATATCCTTTCTAAAAGTGCACCAAAACTCTTAAATGCAGGGATTTTGGGGCTCTTTCAGAAAGTGCACCACACCTGCAGGATTTAATAGAAGTCTATGGAAAAGTACAGCTAACCCAGGAAAATAACAGATGCACTGCAACAGTAAGGGTTCATTTTACATTTGCAGTTTTGGGGAGTGGTAAAACCCCATAGTTAGTGTTTTTACCACCCCTGCCCCATTCACACTCCCTTTAGCTGCAATGGCCAGGGGTGTACACATTTCACAGCTGCAGCAAGAGTTATACACCCTATCATGGTTGGTGGGTGTAGCACCTGCCAAGCATGACCCATTCAAGTGAATAAGGCCGCTGTGCAAGTGCCCTGCAACCTTGCAGTACTAGAGCTGTTGGTTTGAATCCAAACTACAGCACCACCTGCCTGGAGTTTGCATATTTTCCCTGTGCCTGTGTGGGTTTCCTCTGGGTACTCCGGTTTCCTCCCACACTCCTAAGACATGCTGGTAGGCTAATTGGATCCTGTCTAAATTGGCCCTAGTATGTGTATGAATGTGAATTAGGGACCTTAGATTGTACACCCCTTGAGGGTTAGAGACTGATGTGAATGTACAATATATATGTAAAGCGCTGCGTAGATTGATGGCACTATATAAGTATCTGAAATAAATATATCTGCTGCTGTGGAGGTTTTGTACTGGTCTGCCTAGAGCAACCTTTCTCAACTTTTTTTTTTTTTTTTTTTTTTTTTTACCTTTTTGGAGGAGCTTTTGGCAGAACATTTGAGTTCCTAGATAGCCCCTGAAATAATCAGATTTACAGCTCAGGGAACATTGGTGTGATTTGTGGACTAATATAAACAGGAATTTTAGACATACAATAAATATTAAAACTTCCCTCCTAATGTGAAACTTGTTTTTGTTTTCTTGCACAGATTCTGGGTCAAACTTGAGATTAGCAGTTTGTAGGGGTGAGCAGGGCAAAGTACAGGGGGTCTGTAGTGTATAAGTAGTCTCTTCCATATGTAGAGCGGCACAGATGTTGCTTCCCTGGGCCAATCTGCATTGGGGGGGGGGGAGCATTTCAGATGGAGTGTCAACTAGGTGGGGGAAGCCCATCTAGCGATCACCTGCCTGCGATCAACTGGTAGATTGGGGTGGAACCCTGTCCTGGAGGGCTATCTGCCCTGTACAGAGAAGTTGTTAGAGGGTTTCTATATCTGCCAGGTACTGGAACTGGTCAAAACAGACAATAGAGCACATCTGCTGCTGCCGTCATGTTCTCCTCTGCATTCAAAACTATTTGATGGCATACTTGAAAATCCTTGAGAGAAAAAATTGCTCGGTGGGTGGTATCTACATTTTTTTTTTTATGCATGACCAAATCTGCACTCTGGTAATGTAAGCTGTAGTTTGGTAACGTGTTTTATGTTTTGCATGTGCTGTGTTGTGGTGATGACGTGTGTGTGACCTTCCTTCCATAGGAGTGTACCTGCCACTTTTATGGGAGCAAAGCTTCTGCTGGAAAAGCCCGATTGCCTTGGGCTACACGCGGGGTCATTTCTCTGCCCTGGTAGCCATGGAGAACGATGGATATGACAATCGTGGGGCTGGTGCAAATCTAAACACAGATGATGATGTAACAGTTACGTTTCTGCCATTGGTGGACAGCGAAAGGAAGCTCCTGCACATTCACTTCCTGTCTGCACAAGAGGTGAGCCTGTCCTTTCTTTCATTGTACATAATGACATAGGAGGGATGAAGATGGTCTGCCATTGCAGTGCATTGTATAGGAGTTCTGTGTTCACTGCCTGTGTGCTTGTTCATTTGAAGCCAGTGAACTGCCATTTTTAGAGAGGTTATAGATTTAATTTAGCTTTTTAATTTGCATGTTTTTTTTTTCTTATGTACAATATTCAATGCTCAGTTGTAGACTTTAAATATTATGTAAAGTAAATAGCTACCAATGTTTGTTTTTTGTTTTTTTAATATTAAAAGGGCTCCCTTGCTTGTAGTCCACATCTGGTTTCCTTTTCTTCAAGAAATGCTTTTCTGCCCATTTTGGGCTAAAGTACAGTCATACAATGTATATAGTGCATTAGAGAATGTAGAGCTGCGGGGCCTCTGAGCACCATAAGAGGTGCTGGCGGTCTTGAGCCGCACGGAATCTATCCTGTTATGCGCTTCACTTACAATTGGAGGAGGAAAAGCAATGTAGTTTTTTATTTTATGTGGCATATGCATCCTTCTAGAAATGTCTTCTAAAACATACAAACAAAAACAGACATGTTGTATTTTCCTGGGTTTGGCCTTTGCTCAGTCTTGGGGTGGCCCTACACAGGCAGATGTCTTGATTTTATAATGGCATAGATTTAGAGGTCTGCTTGTTTCCAGGCCCTGGCCTAATCTTCTTATGATCGGTATCAGTGAAACATATGCAGAGAGAGATTAATTCTGTTTTATCCCTAAAAGTGGTCATGTTGCTGACTTTGATCAGGTTTGTATCCCCAACCTGTGTCCTGATGGTTTAGTTTTCTCCAGTTATTTACAAGAGTGACACCTGCTGGTTGTCATGTAAAGTGCATGTCTATCCAATTATTTTGGGCAGGGATTAGGAAACCCTGTTTAAACTGATATTTGGGGCTCTGTTAATAACCAGTGAGAACTTGTTTCATCATGCAGAAAGTGAAGGAAAATTTCCAACTGCTACACTAACATCAATAGTTGTGTGGTGGCTTTTTTTTTTTTTTTTTTTTAAATATTGCTTTCTGTGTCCCTGTTGCAGGTTTTCCCTCGTTTCCTGTGAGGTGAAACCATGTCATGTCACGTGTAAATGAGAAATCTCTCTAACAGAGCCCCATGTAACCGTATCAACTTAACTGGTTCTTATTCTTCTCCCACTCCATCCAAAGCACACACAGTTTTGACTGAGCTTACTCCTTGAAGTAGTAAACAGATGATGTGATGGGGCAGGGAGGAATGGAGAGAGGTACTTCTTCCAGTGATGGAGGTCTTTTGGAATGCCATATTACAAAAAACAAAATCCAAAAAACACCTACTTAAAGTAGAACTTTAGCCCTCCCCCTTTCTATTTAACCCAGTAGGACAGCTCACCTTAGATGTTCCAAAGAATAAATGGTGAGTGCAAGACAAAAAAGGAAAAAGTAAAGCAGCTAGCACAATGTGGCAAACACTCTGTCTTCACCAAAACAAAACACTATAGTATCAATGTAAGAAAAATTAATAATAGCGCCTATGGTCAAAATTATATAACTTACTAATAGTGTACCAGCTGCAAAAAATCACCATATATAAAGTGTACCAATAAATAAATAAATTTGCGCTAGTAAATGTGTATCAATATATAAATGTATATAAAGAAATCATCAAATCATAAGTCCAGAAAAAAAAAAATATATATGCCAATACCACAAAAAAAAATATATATAAAAAAAAAAAAAAAAAAAACTTTTAAGTGCAAAAAACTTTTGTGCAAAAAAAGTGTCTAAATATGAAAAATTTCACCCAAAAAACCTTGATAATATAATGGCAGATCATCCATAAATATATCTTCAGAAACGGAAACTCTGCAACACACCGATCCTCATCGATCGAAATAACAGGATGAAAAACTTTGTAGTTAATCGAAAATCCACTTCTCCAATAGATAAAGGACCACCTTCAAACGTATCCATGGGGGGAAATGCCAAGCACTCGAGAGAAACAGACTTCATGGTGCAATATTATAAAAACCAATTCCTTTATTAGGTACTCATTGCACTTACTCAAGAGGTGTCCCAGCCGACACCAGCATCAACAGCATAACGGCAATCACATAAACGAGCCTGGCTACTCAGCACATGCGCAGTAGCTGGCAGCCAAAAACGTAATGACGTCACATCAATCAAGCTCCGCCCTACGCGTTTCGTCATCGACGTCCTCACGGAGCGGATAGGATCGGAGCGGATGTGCAGCGCTCATTAAAATATGTGTTTATTTATAATGTTTCCTCTTTTACTATCACACTGGTCATCATTGATTATAAAGAAATCGAGAATAGTGGATACTCCAATGAAGAAACAAAATAGACGGAATAACAAATGAAAATATATAAGATCTCTAAATATTATAATAATCCCAAAAGTAGTGATGTGGTCAAATCAACAAAATGTAGTGACTTGTGTGACTTCTGCACTGCACCTCCACCAGAAGTAAGTAGCAAGCAAGCCCAGAGCAGAATGACACTAATGCAGGCCATAGACTGTTCGAAAATCGGCCCATTTTTCGTCAAAGAATAATCAGCCAATTTTCGCACGGTTAGTGTGCAATGGCATCAGCCAATTTTCGTGGTTCCTCCTCATTTCGTTTATTGAGCATGCTGGAAAATTCGTGAAAATCGGCTGATTTTCGAAATCATTGGTGGCAACATCGGATTACAGAACGAACGATGTTTTGTTTTTTTGGACAATAAATCAGCCGATTTTCAAACAGTCTATGGCCTGCATAAGGGGTGTTCCTGCTTGTTCCTCCTGCTGGTGAGCCGGTTGAAGGTGGGATCTCTCCAGAAGCCAGTGATATACCAAATGAACAATCAAAAGTAGAGTAGTCAAGTCTCCAGCCCACAGTGAACCAAGGAAAGGGATTCCTCCTAGAGGGCAAGCTCATAGACCGAGCCCAGAGGCAGTATCATATAGTGCAGTATGTTTTATTAAAAAGATAGCAACCACTTGGAGCATAAAATCAAAAATGGATGAAAAGCACTTACAAAGATGGCCACCGGACCATCACGTGGACGCAGTGGCATGACCTCAGCATGTAGGCTCCTCCCTGACACATTGCGTGCACACACATGTTCTCTAAGGGATCCCCCTAGTTACCTAGAGGACTTCTATATTTTCATTTGTTATATTGTCCATTTGGTTTCTTCATTGGAGTATCCACTACTCTCTACTTCTTTTTTATGATGTTTCCTTTCTCTTTTACCATCACATTGGTTATTGATTATAACACACATTTTTATTAGTGCTGCACATTGATACTAGAGATGTTGTTCCAAGTTCATATTCCCCATGAACCTGCTAGCCAATCAGGATTGGGAATTCTACCTGCAGCTTTCTCTGCCATGATGGACTTCATCATCCCCCTGACAATAGCAGTTGCCCTCACAATGACAGGCTGGTACAGAAGCCAGACCACTCTGTTAAACTAGTAATAAGACTAGTAACCTGCTCTGGTGTGGTGCCAGCCTTGGTAGACATGTCCCTAGAAATTTGTGTCCCTGGGCTCTGAGGAAGAGGAAAGATGCTCGAGGCATTAGACAGCAAAGTGTAGGCCTTTCGCCATCCCCCTGAGCTGATTGCTAGAAGCAAAGTAGATTGAATATGTAGGTACATTCAGACTATAGAGACAAGTTATAATTTTTGGTTATATTTTTTCGGTTTGAGTCCTTTAAGTACATAAAAGAATGCTTTTGGCTATAGCTAAAACCTCAGTCCCCATCATCCTTCACATCGCCGTGATGGTACCATCACTCAGCAGCTATGAGCTCTATACAATCAAGTTTTCTAGACTCCAGTGTTCAGGGTTTAGCACTGCCATCATTTTCTAGACCTTGCTAGCAGAATAGGAACAACCACAGGGATTCTGTCCTAATCTGAAAATAGGTTTTAACAGTGTAGGGAGACTTCCTCCCCTGGATGAATCCTCTAGATCGGGATGTCTTTATGAAGTGACATTTATCCTTGGAGAAGTCTGTACACTGTCATTAACTGGTGTAGTTAAATAGCAGCCATTGATTAATTAATAGCATCCAAATGTCATGTATTGATTGGTTCTTTCTGTAGTACGAGGATCATGTCTCCTGGGCAGAGTCTAATTAGCCACTTGCATGTTCTCACTATGATCCTAAAATGTCAGCAAATCCATTGATTGTGGACTAAACATTTTTTGTAGATAATGAAAGTGCTCCATAAGGTACTTGGATTCTAGGAGCCTGCGTGGTTAGTCTGATATATATTATAGCAACGTTTAAGCTGTGTGATATTTGCAGAAAGCTTTAGAATTGGAATGTCACCTATTCCAGATTGTTTTATAGCCTCCTCCACTCCCAATATTTAAATTGTTTTTTTATTTTTTTTTATTGGGCATCAGTGGGTTAAATCCCCCGTCCAATGTCTTCAGTGTACAGCACTGCTATTTTTCTGTGGTAGTTTAAAGCTTGGCCATACATGGGTCAGTTTTTTGTTTTCCCCCATTCAACCAATGGGTTGAATGGGGGAAAAAAAATGACTCTGTTCCCCCATCCACTTATCCCTATTGTGTCATTTGTATTCTGACTGTCAGAGAGACTCCCTGGCTGTCAGAATACACAGATCAGCACTGGAGTCTATTGCCTGCAGTGCTGATTGAGCAAGAAAATACCAATAGGGTGGTTGAACAGAAGACAGGCAATAGATTGACTTCTGTTCAGCCTCAGTGGCCACACATGGTCTTCACCCTTAACCACAAGGCCAGAACAATAGTAAAAATACTGTGTAAGGTCCATATATAGCCCAAATAGTGCTCAATATCATCAGTCAGTCTGTGTGTTCTATGTGAAACCTTGTGCCACACTTAACACTTGAATCTTCTTTTTGTGACTTCCAATGCACCACATGACACCAAAAACATGGCACAAACTGTGACCCCTTATTTGATAAAAGCTCAAACACCAAATGCCAAGTAAAGCACTCCCTCTGCCTGTTCCAAACTAATGTGGAGGAGAGTTGGTGTACATTTCTACAAAGGCCAGATAAAGGACCTCATTGTGCAATACATTTACATAAAATCCCCCCCAAAAATGATAAAATACACTTGCATGTTTTGTACAACCACCACGTTTCACCAGGCTGTTCCACTGTACCTGGAGCAGGATACGTTCCACTGGACAGATACGATGTCCTCAAGGAGATGGCCAGCTGGCATTCCCGCCTCTATGAATTTTGACATCAGCTGTCATTAGGAAGTGGTCTGGTGGCCATCCAACTCGAGGTTTATATGCCCAATTCTTAACCAATTCATCACCAATTAAATTAAAAAACACAGACGTGTTTATACAGAGCTGACTAAAGTTGTGCATTCAAAAACCCAGGTACAATGTAAACAAACCACCAGATATTGCATTCGAATTTAACAAGCATTGAATTGGTTAAGAAATGGGCATATAAACCTCGAGTTGCGTGGCCATCAGATTGCTTCCTGATGACGTCTGACGAAACGTGTAAAGGCAGGAGTTCTGGTGGTGGGTTTTTTTTTTTTTTTTTTTTTTTTTTGTGTGTGGAGTTGGCATAGAATACACGTTTTGTTCTAGTGCAAAATTGGCTAGTGTTCGGAAACCCTCAATAAAACCACTTTCTCCTGTGTAGAAGAAAATTGGGGACTGTGGGAAAGATGTTTTCTGGTTGGTTCCCATGGGTTGCTATACATCACCATGCTGTACTTCTGACATTTTCAGCCCAAAATGGAGAGGGGATAATTCTGAGGTGATAGTTTTCTTTGTGTGGGTTCTCTGGTTGGTGAACACCTGCACTGTGCTAGACTCTGCATGGTTAGGAATCTGTTATATCCACCCTTGTGCTGGCAGGACAGCCATATAACCAACATGATCACCCTGAAATCAGGTGATCTCTTCCAACTAAAACTTTATATTGGTTTTCTGTTGGACAGAGTGGGATAGTTTTTGATGCGGAGTGTCCATTTCCCCCAACTTCCTGACCTGGTAATGCAGCGACAGGTCACAGAAATACAGATCTGACATGAGGTTCTAACCTTTCCTGCTCTGCAAACTAAAATAAAGTTTCTATGCTGTAAATACATCAGTTCTGCTTGTCTAGATTTTTTTCTCTGGATGAAAAGATTTTCTGTATAGTGAGTGTTGATGAAAAACAGATGACTGAGCCGCAGCCAAGAAGTCTTTGGGAGACTGTTTACTTTTCCCAAAAAGGGATGACCTGAATTGTGCTGTGATCTGTGCATTTAATTCTGAAAACTGGTCCTTTCTAAGTAACAGGCTTGTCTGGTTTGCATCCATCGTTGGGTTTCATTTTGTTGGATGTTCAGCTAAGCTGCAAAATTTAAAGTGCTAGTCAATGCAGAACCGTAGTTTCAGGTTTTGGTGAATATCAGCCACTGGCTGCTATATTCTTCTAATGGGTATGTTACTCCAATGTGGTTTCCACTTCAGTCTTTCATCTGCTGCAGGTTTTGTAATGTAATATGAACAGGAAATCCCTCAGAAAAACGAAGTGCCTTTTAGTGGATGTGGTGGCTGCATTCGTTTCCACTTTCCGCATTTTTTTTATGCTATGATCCTGCCTAGGATGGCTACACTTGCTCCACTGTCGCTTTTGAAGAAGCAGCATTGTCACCCTAGGCTGCTCTTCTACATGCACATCCATCTCCATTACATTGGGGGGGCGTACAGCATTTGTTTTGTCCAAGTGATACTTTGAAAGGCAAATTTTATGTTTCAGTTCTGTTCACAGGATGTTACAAGGACACTATTTTTGGCAAAATACTTATATTCTGTACTTGCAAAAATAAAACTAATGCAGCCACACCTAAGAAAGCTTTAATATATTCCATGTATGAACGTGGGTTTAGATGTACCTTAGTGTGATAACTTGGAGTGTATTCAAGGTTTTCGACTCCTGGGGTCTTTGTATGTCCTCACTGGAAGTATTGCTGCAGATATCACATAGACCCGCATTTCTTCTGTGGCAGGGTCTTTTTACAGTGACCAGACAGAACAGGCTGGTTACTTTAGTGACATGAGTTTGGTCACCTGCAGTCACCACATAAATCCATTATCTGTGTACAGAAACTGGTGCAGGTAAACCATCACTGTCCTTGTATGATCCTCCCCTTTTTGATAGGTTAGCCAGGTCATATTTGGAATCCATGGGGGAGTATTGGCTTTCAAACTGCGCTAACAGCTTTTTGTTTTTTTTTCCTATCTATTACAGCTTGGAAATGAGGACCAACAGGAGAAGCTTTTACGGGAATGGTTGGACTGTTGCGTGACAGAAGGCGGTGTCCTGGTAGCCATGCAAAAAAGCTCCCGCCGTCGTAACCACCCACTAGTGACACAAATGGTGGAAAAATGGTTGGATGGTTATCGTCAGATTCGCCCATGTACAGCGCTGTCTGACGGTGAGGAGGATGAGGAAGATGAGGATGAGTGAGAAGACTCCAGGGCTTAACGTGTAAACAGCACATGCTGTGAGGTCACGACTAGGACCTGCGTTACCGGGACCCTGCGTTATGTGCTTGAGGTCCAATGCAGGGAGGAATGCTCCAGCCCACCCACTCCTGGGGATACAGCACCTTTTTGGCTCTGACGACAACATCCTTTTGTTATTGAGACCGGACACTTTTTGTTTTTCGTTTGTCTCTCCCTCTTAATCTGGGTTGTAAATCTTGGTATAATGCATGTGTTGTGCAACAGGGGAGAGAGGACTTTGAAGGTAAAAATAATAGAAAATAAACACAAAAAACCCATGGTCAACCTATCAGAGCAATGGGCTGGCCATTAGTTGCTTTGCTCCTATTTCCTGACCTTTTTGTTTATTGCAAGGCTTACATTTTCATTTCTGATATTATTTTAAATTGTTCTGCACTTGATTTTAACCCCGGCATTACTAGACCAGCCAGGAGTCGTATATTGCACAGTTCCACATGGATAACTTATGGTTGTCTCGAGCAATAAAGGGGTTAAATATACTTTCATTTTAGGATTCTGTACACAAGTGGTAACACAGATATCAGGCCCTTCCCACACAAGACATTGATGGTCTCAGAGGTCAGACCAAAGGCATTTTTATTTTAGTTTTCCTTTTAATATGTGGTAATGAATTAGTTAAAGGGTAAGTGAAGAAAAGCTGAGGATTTTTGTTTTGCCTCCTGTCTTTATGGCTTCCTATTTTTCCCCTGTCACCCAAGTATATATATATATATATTTTTTTTTTCCCCCCCCCCATTCTTTGAAAACTTTATATATTTATTTGTTCATGAACACTTGTTCCCCTCCTCACATGCAGGAATTAGGTTCTAAAGCGATTTGTGTGCAGTTTGCCAGCTTGGACTTGATTGCGAATGTGACACAAATACATCGTCTTGCTGTGAACCCATTTCTCGACTGTTCATTTACTTCTGTGTTTATAGTCAGCTACTTGGATGACACTGCAGATTATGGTCATGCTGGAGAGGTGTATAGATAGGAGGCGGGGGGGGGGGGGGGGGGGCGGCGGCGGCGGCGGCAATGGAAGCTGCACTTGTTTTCTAATATCAGATTGTTAGTTTAGCGTTCTTTCACACAATGCATGGGGTTCCAGAAATCAAGGATTCATGATCCTAGTTAATGTTATATTGACATTTGGAGATCAAATGGGTACCTCTGGTGTAGGATATACTAATTTCATTCTTCAGGGCTCCTTCACGGAGATTTGCTATGGCTGCACTTTATTGCCCGGTCTAGTTTTTCCTGATGAGAAGTTGATTAGTAATTATAGGTTTTGCACATATACACCTCCATTCACTGCCTTAATATAGTATCTAGAATATGTTTGTCAGACATGCAGAGGTAACTGGTGTTAACAGCTGATGAGGAAATGCCAGGCCCCAGCTATGGGTCCACTGGTATTCCTTAGTGTGTTAGACCTGGTATTTGATCATATGCTGTTTCCTAATAAATGTGAGTCTCTGTGCTGGTTTCATACCAGCCTTAAAGAGTAACTCCACTTTTGTTGAGGAAAAAAAAAAACGTTCCCCTCTGGACCATCTATGTGTATTGAAAGGATTTTGACCAAACTTTGTTGCAGATGCCTACCTTTTTGTTCTGAAGGAGTAGCGGTTTGTTTCTGTGTCCATGTGCAGAGGGAATCTGTATGGGAGTGACTTCATAATTCTCAGCTGTTGCACCTGCAGGGCTCTGAGGAAAACAGCAGATTTCCTTTGGGAGTATCTCACTAAAAATGACATTTTTGTTACATAGGATGCCAAAAATCAGACTTGTATGCAGACTCCTGGGAAAATCAGTAAGCCAATCACCCAAGCATGAAATTAATCTGTGTACAGGACATCTCCAGCTAGCCATATTGTATTGCAGTTTTTTTTTTTCTTTTCATGAAAGTGGAGTTACCTTTTAATAATGCATATAAATCTATTGTACCAGCTGCTTTAAAGGAAGCTTGTGATGACCATTATTACCACAGGGGTGATCACTGACAGAAAGGCAACTAGAAAGTTCAGAGGATGTCATACTTTTTCTTCTCCAAACTGGAACAGGTATAGATATAAGGAATCCTGACTTTTCACGTTTGAGTCACTGACACAAAACTAGCAGGCATCAAACACAGAAATGGGCAGCTAACCTCTTCATCAGGATGTCAGACTGTGCAGCCCCTATTTCTGCTATGAGTGGTGAACTTGGCAATACAGAGACCAACCAGTCCATTCAATCTTTAATTCTTCAGCCTGCACTGAAAATGGCGGCTGGCATCTGGTTGATTGCACACCTTTTCAATAAGTGAATAATCATTTAACAATAGCTGTTTTATCCTGTAGTTTATTTTTACTTCAAAGTGTCTGGGGCAGTCTTTTTGATGTCTGAATTCATTGTCTGGAAAAATTAAAACCCAGTTCAGAACACACAGAACAGGAAATGCAATACCTACAAGTCACTACGTCAATGGTAACAGGTAAAATGTAAAGCAATAAAAAAAGTGGAAAAATCAGTGTTATAAAATACAGTTGATTTGTATAGAGCGTTTCCTGAGTCAGTGGAGCAGGACAGACAGTAGACAAACATCACACTAATGTTCCCTTCAGGTTTGGTGTCTTACATGGACAAGTAGCTGTCATCTTTCGTGTCGGTTTGATATGCAGATGTGACTCACAACATCCCAGCATTGATCTCCTGGCCCCACAGAGGGGCAGCTATGTCTTCACTTGACATGGTTGTGTGTTGACAGGGACTGTGTGGGAATTGCTGCTCACAGAAGAGACAGTCCTGGATTGCTGTAATCATGTGCTTGCAGGTAGATGTAGTCTTTGTTATCTTGTGGCCGGGCTGGCAGGTTATGTCATCCTGTGACCACTAAGCATTCAGCTGCATGTTTGTCCTCTGCCAGTGTGTTCTGGTTTTTTTTTTTTTTTTGATTGCTGGTTTCTGTAACCTGCACAGTTTTGTCCTATTGCTACATGCAGTACTGCCCGGCAGAATGGACCACTGAAGGATGATTAGGGAAGTAGGGAGATCCCTTGTAATGAATTCTGTCAGCAAAAGAGCCACAACCAGTGATGAATCTGTATGGAAAGAGATGAGAGAACATTAACTGGCAATCGTGCTTCTGAAGCAAAGGTTAGAAACGAAGGCCCTAACACATGACTGGTCTTCAGGCAGGCCATAATGCATCCCAGAATTGGATCAGGGTTGTTTGACCACAGCATGCCAAGATGTCTTGTAGTTGGTGTGTGGCTGTAGAGGTAAATGATACCACTTTGGGAGGTGGAGATAAGTGGTGAAGCTGAATACATGGCTAATGTACAGTACATTATCTATTCTTCCTATTGGTTATGGCAAGCATGTACTAGACAGTAGACTGACATCTTTACACCTATGTATGGAAGTACTGCATGGAGAGAATCGAACGGTTTCATTGGGGATACAACACCTTCCTAACGTGTTGTATCCCTAGTGTTCATCTGCATGGAAAGCACAGGTACAATGCCCAGTCCTGCTGGCAGCAGCTTGTCAAAATCTGGCAGGCTGAAATACACAGCAAGTGGATGCTGACTAAAGTGGTACTTGTGTTTTTAGGGCCATATGCATTCAGGGACGTTTGTGTGGAACGCAGGTATGTTACAAGCATACTCTCCTGAATGAATGTCGCCCTAAATGTGAGTAGAAATCTGCACAGTGTCTAGCTCCTGTGTATTTCAGCCTGTCAAAGTTTGACCAGCTAACTGTGGTACTGGATGTTTTACCTCCCCAGTCACATGAAAATGCTGGCATTTGAGGCAAACTGATTAAAAGCCCATTGTGAGTTCTAAAGCAGCTTTAACGGGTTGTCTTTTTTTTTTTTTTTTTTGTCTGAATAACTGAGGTCCCTGCAATGAATTTATTAGATTCTTACCTCTTCTGTTGCCATGATGACAAAATTAAGAATTTTCTGCAGAAACCTAGTTACATAGTTAGTCTGGCTGAAAAAAAGACAAGTGTGTTGGAAATGCGATTTTCCTGTGTCCCATAGTGTTGCTTGTTCCTCCCGCCAACCTCCATCTCTCTATAGGACACAGTACAGGAGGAACCACTGCACCAAGCATTTTAAAATCTAAACATAGGGGTTGATTTACTAAAGGCAAATATACTGTGCACTGCAAGTGCAGTTGCTCTAGATTTGAGGTGAAGTTCTGCTGGTTTTTATCCTTGCATGTGATTGGGTATTCTTTGCAAGTGCAATTGCCCCAGAGCTTTGCAATGTGTGAAGGTTTACCTCATTTACTAAGTGCACAGTATATTTTGCCTTTATTAAATCAACCCTAGAGTATGTAAGCCAACATGATAGGTACATCCCTCCTACGGAGAAGGAGATTTGACCCAGAGAAGCATGAAGGCGGAGTGACAAATATGCTAAGGAATGTTGGTCACAATCTCTGGAGAATGCAAGTAGCTGTTTTAATGACAATGCAGGGAAGAGATTGATAGTATTGTAGCAAGTATAAACTGGAATGCTGGTTTTAATAAAGTGTAGTGTAAGTGATTTGTGGTATCTATTCTTGTCTGTCCATGTTGCTGTGCTCTGGTCAATTTATGGATCACCAACCATAGCACAATGGCTGCTTGTAGGCCAGGGATAGTCCATTCAGCACTTCAGCTGTGCCAAAACTGCAAATCCCATCATGCTTGTTGTGGTCAGTCTTGCAATGCCTCATGTGATCTCTAGTTCTAATACAGCTGGAGTGTAGAGGATCTGAAGCCTGTAAGGCTTGGTGACCTGTTCAGATGGAAGTGGCTATAGCTGACAATTATAGTGTGACAGTAAAAGATATAGACTGTGTACTGATAACAGCAATGTCAGTGATTTGTGACTGTATGAGAGTGTAAAGTGCAGGAATTGGGGACAGACATTACTCCAAGCCACAAGTATGTCTACAGTATTGTGCAATGAAATTGCTGTGGATT